ATATATCTGTGTTCAAAACCTAACAACATCTTAAACTTTTTTAATATAGATATAAGATTCAAGACTTGCTTAACCAAAGCCTTCAAAAGATGTATCATCCACCTATTGAAGGTCCAAAATGACTGGCCCATGGTTCCCGACTTAAAACCCTCTAATCAATTCTAACTCTATTCCTTTGCACATCAACTTAGTAACCCCTCAACCACTAGTTTAGTAAAAGAGAGGGTGAATCACCTTGTCTTAAAACCTCCAGATTCACGAAAATTCTGTTGAAACCTAATTTTTTAGCATAGAAAAGGAAAGTGAAGAGATGCAAGCAAAACTCTAACTCTAACTCCAACTTTCCCCAGAGAGCTTCTCTCAAATCCAAACCTCCATAATCATTTGCCCAAGAGAACTTCATTAAAAGCTACTATTCTTTTAAAAGTTAACCCCCCATCTTTGGCCTACAAACCTGTTGCAAGGGGTGTTTTAAGTGTGTTGATGTTGCAGGGGGCTTCTTGTAATTTCTTTTACTTCAGAGACCACCCTTTAATATTTTATTAAATAATATAATAGGCTACAGTGGATGTTACCACTTACCCATGAGATTTCTTTCTCATACATTGACTTCTCTCTTCTCTTCTCTTTTCTCTTCTTCACCCTTCACTAAGGTTTCCTTAACAGATTACATGGTATTAGAGCACTAATCTGTTATGGAAAACCCTAGTTTTTATTCCTCTTCATTCTTTTTCTCTCAGCTGAGCTTTGCTTTTATCTTGACTCAGCCGAAGCCTATAGAGGACTGATCTGATCACTTTTTTTCTCTCACTCCCTCATTATTTCTTGGTCATAAGACCAATTCTGTTTGGTTGGATTGTTGCTCAAGTGATCGCAGCATGTAGGAGACTTCTTTGGACCATTGAAAGAAAGATTTTCTGCTGTGGTTGATCTGAACTGTGTATGAGAGGCTGACGCAAGTCTGTTATGGTTTGAGAATATGTTGGAAGAACCTGCTTTTTGTCTCAGTTTACAAGGAATCTCGCCAACTGTTTGCTGTTTGTTTTCTAGGTTCTAAACTCAAGTTGAAGGGATGTTTTGCAAGGTTGGCCAGGTTGCTTATGTTGGAAAGGACTGCACTGAAAGTATGGTTATGATGTAAGTGTTGCAGTTTACTAGTAAATGCTTTTGTTTTCCAGTTTTATCCTCTTGGATCAACTGTTGGAGTGTTTGGTTTGTGTTTCCCCTTGGGTCTGGAAAGGCTGGTTTCTTGTTTCTTGAAGCTGTCTTGGATCAACTGTTGGAGTGTTTGGTTTGTGTTTCCCCTTGGGTCTGGAAAGGCTGGTTTCTTGTTTCTTGAAGCAGTCTTGGATCAACTGTTTGAGCAATGTCTTCAGAGAGTTCTGCTATGTCTAACTCTTCTAGAGGGTCTGTTAGTTCTGGAACTGGAATGGACAGCATAGGATTTCCAGTGTCTCTTGTTCTTTGATGGACTGAACTACTTGGAGTGGTCCAAGGGTGTGAAGATGTTAGTTGGAGCAAGAGGAAATCTAGGTAACCTACCAGGAAGACTAAGAAGCTTCCCAATGAAGGTGCTGAATATGATTAGCAGGAACAAGAGAACTACCTGATTGTTTCTTGTTTGGTATCTTCAAGCTCTCAAGAAAAACTTTATGTGGGCTGAAACGGACAAGTTGATATAGGAACAAGCAAAGTCAATTTACTCAAAACATACACATTATTCTCAAATTTACCAACTTCAAGTTGAGTCATCAGCTTTGAAACAAGGTGAAAAGTCCCTAGCAGCATATTACTTAGCTGTTACTTCTATGTGGAAGGAGATGGGTCATTACAAGGCTATTGATTGGAAGAGTGATGAGGATGCATCAGCCTATAGGAAGTTACTCTCTCAAGAAAGGGAGTTTGAACTTTGAAGTCTGAATCCAGTGTATGAACCAATGGTAAGGAGCTTTCAGGCCTTGAAGAAGTTTTTGCTCTAGTTCAATCCAAAGAAATTAGGAGGGCAGCTATGAATCCCATTCAGGGGGAGCAAATTGCTTTATTATCTAAGGTGAAAAAAAAAAGCGAGGTACAAAAGAAAGGAGGAGGTGAGAAGGATAAGTTACAGTGCAATCATTGCAAGAGATCTAATCACACAAAAGAGTTTTGTTGGGACTTACATGGTAAGCCTAAGAAGCTTCAGGAGAATCAAAACAGGGGATCTAATGCAGATAATATTGCTTCCTCCACACCCATCTAGGATAGCCAACAACTATCAACTCAAGGTAACACTTCTCCAGTTCATCTGATAGCATTTGTACCCAAGGAAGGTCTTTTGACTCTATTTGTGATCAGGTTGAGCAATTTGGGTATGTGTCCCTAGGCAACTGGAGGAAACCTCTATTACCCCCTCCATTTCTTATGGGGTGTGTTTGCTGAAGTGCAGAAGTAGAAGAAGAAGGAGAAGAGAGGAGAAGAGAAGAGAAGAGATCAGTGAATGGGTGGCAATACAATCTCAGCCGGCCCTAGAGGCTAATATTTGTATTAACAATATGAAATTACAGCAGAAGATTAGAATACCCCTGATTAGTGATGGGACACCTAGACAGTACAAATAAAAAACCAGCTTAGGCCCAATAACTAAAGTCCCATAACAGACAATAGAACTAGGACAAGGAATGTTAAATAAGCCCACTAACACTTAATCACTCGACCCAACACTCCCCCTCAAGCTAAGCATGGATGTCAGTCATGTTTAGCTTGCCAAGTAAGATTAGGAACTTCACTAAAGATAGTCCTTTTGTCAAAACATAAGCAATCTGCATCTCTGAGGGTGTATAAGGAATGCAAAGTCCGCTTGAGACAATTCTCTCTCTCACAAAGTGTCGGTCAATCTCAATATGCTTAGTCCTATCATGTTGTACTGGATTATTTGCAATATTGATAGCAGCCTTGTGGTCATAATACAGCTTGAGGGGACCATCAAGCTTCCTTCCAGCCAACCTCGAGCCACGTCATCATCTTCTTCCCCACAGCAGCTTCCTTCCAGCCACCACTGAGCTTCGGCAGAGGAGATAATCCAGGCTCTGTATACTACTCCATCAAAGAAGATTTCCACCGACCTTGGGATCTGTTCTGGCTTCACCCTAAGCAACTTCAAACATGTTGCCTTCAATTCTGAGGTTTCAAAGCTATCCAACTCTCCACCACTAATTTTTTGCTATCATTGAAGAAACACTCTCCGACCAAAGGTGAAAAGGCAACCCCAAGATCTGAATAGTTATAGGGGTGGACAGATTGACCTCCTTTTCATTACATGAAGGAGACCATCATTGAACCATTGTCAGGCCCTGTTTAGTTTCCACTGAGATCGCTGCAAACTGCGATAGTCTTTGGAGGAAAGAACAGGGCCTTGCCAGCATCGAAAGGGATTAGCTCCAACTGATCGGTTATCTTAAATACCCCTCTTATTTCTTCACCCAAGGCTTTCCAATCTTTAACTCTTCCTTTTGTTGATAACACCAGCCCTTCTTTCCAATATTCTTCAGAGGCATTAACCCACAGTTTTGGTTGTTGCAAGTTCAAAGACATATGCAACTCCCTTCTTGGATCAGCCTACTCGCCCACCTTCTCTTTATACTGTGTGGTCTTTGATACCCTTTCTGTCCTTTTATTTATCGAGGACTTCAATTCAGTTGCTTCCGCAAAATCCACTTGTGTTACGATCCATTTGTCCCATCCCATGTTGGTAGTATGGGATGCTAATGTGAGGTATCCCACATCGGTAGTATGGGATGCTGTTGTGGGATATATATGTGCTTGGGTTCCCTCCCTCTAACAGCTAGCTTTTAGGGGCGAGTTCTCCTAAGGCTCAGTTTGGAAGGAGTACAAATACAAATATGTACAGTACAAATACATATAAAATAATATAAAATGTAATGTTTTGTACTCTACAAATTTGTGTTTGTACTCCTTTCAAACTGAGCCAGATGGAGTACAAATACAAATATGTACAGTACAAATACATATAAAATAATATAAAATGTAATGTTTTGTACTCTACAAATTTGTGTTTGTACTCCTTCCAAACTGAGCCTAAGGCACATAACAAATGGTATCAGAGCCTAAACTATGCCTCCCAATTGCAATTGTGCAGCGCAAGTGGTGACGTCGGTATTGCAGTGTTCAACCAGGACTAGGTGGACTAGTGCAAAGCCAGCCTGTGTGGGCGCCGGGACTGCAGAGCATGGTGGAATGTTACAATCCATTTATCTCATGTTGGTAGTATGGGATGCTAATGTGAGGTATCCCACATCGGTAGTATGGGATGCTGTTGTGGGGTATATATGTGCTTGGGTTCCCTCCCTCTAGCAGTTAGCTTTTAGGGGTTAGTTCTCCTAAGGCACATAACAGCTTGCTTGGTCTCTGAGAACTGCAGATAATCTTGTAGCTCCTTCCCAACTGCTGTCCAACCTGCTGCTCGTTTGCCCTACGGGAAACAGGTGTACTACTTAAGGCCTTCCCTATAGTGCTCATAAACTCCAATAAAGTGACCTTTCCTTTTGCACAAAGAGGAATTTGAAAGAAATTACAAAACACAATGTGAGGGATATTGGTTTTCTTCCATCTTTTCTTCTTCTCCTCCCTTCGCTAAGGTTTTCTTAACAGATTACAAAACGAAATCTCATTTGACCAAATGATATATCTCTCAATCTATTCTTCAGTTTGTGTTCATTCATGCATACAGATTCTGTATCCCATCTTTGGTAGATTAACACCTAAAGCTGGTTGGGGTTTGGATCTTTGTTCAAATCCTAAAAATTTCTTCCTTTGTTCATTTTACCTATTTGTTATTATTTTATCACTGCAAGTTTCATGGTCAAAAAAGTTATAACAATATGCAAAACTAATCTTCAAACATTCGTAAGAATAATAAGATTTAAACAATGGAAAGCCAAAGCTTTTTTTCAATTTCTTGCTCAAGGAAATGAAAACCAAAATGTGAAACAATAAGAATCTACCTTAAGAAATTCTGTAGGACCAATGCGTGACAAAAATTCACCTTCAGGTATGTAAACCATCCATGAGTCATACGTGGCACATGGAACTGTCTCACCCAATGAATCCAAAACCTACAGATTTTATAGTTTTCAGTCATCTTATATGGAACTAAAATGGAATTACTTGAATTTACTTCATCTAGTATCAATTTCAAATATAACCTAAGATGGGTTAAGATAATCAATTAACTGCAAATTCTCACATTCAGTCAATAGTGTCTGTTAAATAAAACAAAGAGATAGCTAGGAAATAATATTTCTCAGAAATGATAAAAATGGAAATGAATGCACATTCATAATTCAGAATATGACTTTTCTCTATGAAAGAATATGACTATGTAGATGGTGATGATGGAACAAAATCAAGGATGGTATTATAATTGGACACATCTTTAAATAAATAATACATTGGTTTTCTATTTTCTCCATCTTGACCCAACTTCCTATTCATCTTCTTTCTTCTTTTTCTCCATTTATTTTTCCATTCAAAGTTTCAAACCACAACCCAAGCACAATAACATATACATGCATACATTCACATGCACATATATCTACCATAATTTATTCATGCAGCCTTCTCAAGTAATTGGCACTTATCTCTACCACAAAGTCAGTATCAGACGACTTTCAAACACCACCACCACCCCCAACTTCAAAAAAATATGTTGGGTACAGTGTCCCCAAATAAAATATAGGGATATTTTCATCATCTAAAGACCAAATACATCCATTCTTGGCTGAAACTTTTTGTTAGAAACCTACTTAATTCAGGAATCTTCGAGGGAGACAACCTCCAGAGGTAGGAAGAGAGAGAGGGGGAGAGAGAGAGAGAGAGACTAGTTACCGAAATTCCTTGTTGGTTTCTTACAAGGTTTTTAAAACCGACCCGGATAACAAACCGATCAGGGGTCTGGTTCCCGGGTCGAATGGTCATCCCGTTCTGAAAAAAAAATTAAAAATGGTCAAAACCGTCGAATGGTTTGAATGGTTCAACCGCCCGGGTCAGCGGTTTGTTGACCAAATCAACGTTTTTTGGCAAAAATCCGGTTTTGGTGAAAAACGGAACTGGTCACCTGACCGTCCGACCGTCCAGTCTGGTTTTGAAAACCATGGTTTCTTATTCCCTTTCTTGGTGGTATTTATTTCTCTTACATTCTGGTCGTTACAACTGGTTACAAAACCTCTTCTTGTTCTGTTACAAAAGTGTGTCAACTTGCACTAGACACTAGTCCACTTGCACTATTATGCTGATGTGGCCTTCTTGTGTACACCTGGATAACTACCTTCAGTAGTACTGAGTTCCCAACAGTCTCTCCTTAAAAGAGACCTTGTCCTCAAGGTCTAGATTGGGAAAGCAATTTTGGAGGTAGAGATAAGGTTCCCAAGTAGCATCTGCTTCTGGGAGATGAGCCCACACTACTAAAGCTTCATGTATGACATGATGGAAAATCTTAGGAGCCTCTTGATTCAGCTAGAGAAGAGTGGATTAACTACCTCTGTTGGTTCTAGCAATCCTTCCACCTCTTTTGCTAAAACAAGTATTACATTTGCTTGTCATCCTTCCTCTTCTAGCTCCAGAGTGCACATATGACTGGTATGCATTCCCACTTTACCTCATATAAGTTGACTCCTGGGAAAGCTAAGATTACTATATCAAATGGATCTTAGACTCTAACCTCATGGTTGCATGAAGTAAAATCTACACTTAATCTTTCCTTTAGTTCCACTCTTCATGTTCCTTAATTGCATAAAAACCTCTTATTTGTTACCTCCCTTAAAAAATCTCATAATTGTTCTCTAACCTTCTTTCCCTCTCATCATGTTTTTAGGACCTAAACACGGGGAAGATGATTGGAAGTGGACATAAAGTATATGGAGTCTACCTTATTACCAAGACCCTGAGCAAGGACTATTGTGCCAAACTAATTCTTGTCAAAATGAAAAATTAATCCTTTTTGAAATTATGGCATTGTCATCCTGGACACGTGTCTTTTGGTTCTATAAAACTATCATTTCCTAATCTTTATCAGTCTATTACCAAGACCCTGAGCAAGGACTATTGTGCCAAACTGATTCTTGTCAAAATGAAAAATTAAGCCTTTTTGAAATTATGGCATTGTCATCCTGAACACATGTCTTTTGGTTCTATAAAACTATCATTTCCTAATCTGTATCAGTCTATGTCAATTTTAAGTCCTCATTAAGAAGTCTAGCATCTATCAAAACAATGTAGAAACACATATTTTGCTAGTAATAAAAGTAATGTTGCTTTCCATTTCGCACATTCTGATGTATGGGGTCCATATTCTATTCCTAGCATGGGAGGATACAAGTATTTTATTCTCTTCATTGATGATTATTCTTGATACACTTGGCTATACCTAATGAAGAGCAGGAATGAAGTTCCTTCAATTGTTCAAAATTTCTTTCATATGGTAGAAACACAATTTGAGAAGAAGATCAAAATGATAAGATCTAACGCAAAGGAATACATTGAGAAGAACATACAGGCCTTCGTTGAAGAGAGGGGAATAATTTATCAAAGTTTGTGTAGTTATACTCCCCAAAGCGGCTTAGCGGAAAAATAGACGTGTAGCTGAAGTTGTTCGATGCTTACTGTTCCAAATGCATATTCCAACTCGTTTTAGGGGGATGCAATTAAAACAGCTATATACCTTATAAACAGACTTCCTTTTAGGACTCTTCATCTTTAATCTCCTCATCAACTCCTCTTCCCTAATGATCTTGTCTTTTGTCTTCCTCTCAAGGTCTTTGGCTGCACTTGCTTTGTTTATGACATGAGTCCCTCATGGCTTAAGTTTGATCCAAAGTATGTTAAATGTGTCTTTCTTGGTTATTCTTCTATCCATAAGGGCTACAGATGCTTCGATCCTCATTTTGGTAGAAGATGTGCTACCAAGGATGTCATCTTCCCTTAATCCACTCCTTTCTTTCCGTCATCTTGTCCTTCTCTTTAGGAGGAGAATATTAGTGAAGATTGGACTCCTTTTTGTTTACCTATTCCAACTCCTACATCTTGTCTATCTTCTTCCGCTAATTGTAGTGGTAATATTCTTGTCCCACCTCCTCCCCCTCCTATGTATCGACCTCGACCATGGAAGCAATGCTTGGTCAAATGAAGGAAGAGGGTTGCTCCTAAAACTAAATGTCCACTACAATCTAATATTCCGAAAACTTGTGACCCTTGTTGATTCTGAGCCTCTTGTTCCTTAAGCTGATATCTTGAATTTTGGCCTTGATCTTCTTATTCCTATTTGAAAGGGTCAAAGGAAATGTACTAATTATCCTATTAATAGTTATGTTTCTAATAATGCCCTTTCACCATCCTACTTTACCTACATCTCTGTTATTTCTTTTGTGTCAATTCTTTGCAATGTTATAAAGGTAATGCAGTTACCTCAGTGGAAGGATGCTATGAACTAGGAAATGGAGGCTTTGGAATAGTTCCTCTTCCTAAGGACAAAGTTCCTATAGGATGCAAGTGGGTGTATACTATAAAGCACAGGGCTGATGGTTCAATTGAGAGATAAGTTGTAGAAACTAAGGTTTCAAGAGAGGAAGAAGAGAAGAGAAGAAAAGAAGAAGAAGAAGAAGAAGAAGAAGAAGAAGAGGAAGAGGAAAAAGAGAGCAAGTGTCGAGAGGTGTGTGTTATTCACTGCTCACACCCTCAAAAGATTACTTTATAATTTGGGAAAATAATAATTACAAAAAGGCCCCTATCTGGATGCCCAAATACTGAGAGAGTATAAGAAAGGAGAAAAAGACCAAAAACACCCCTGTCTAACCATTCTCAACACTCCCCCTCAAGCTAAGCATATAAGTTAATCATGTCCAGCTTGGCAAGGTTCTTAGCAAACTTTGGATGGTGAACACCTTTAGTGAGGCAATTAGCTAATTGGTCTTCTGACCCTACAAAAGGAAGGCAAATCTCTCCGCTAGCAATTCCAAAAAGGTAACATCCTTAGAGATATATCTCTTGCCAGAGAGAGCATCAAAGCATCTATAGCCTTTCTGGACTGGAGAGTAACCAAGGAATACACACTTAACTGATTTATGATCAAACTTGCGCCAGGAAGGACTCATATCATGAACAAAACAAACACAACCAAAGACCTTAAGGGGTAGATTAAAAGGAGGTTCATCAGGGAAGAGTAGTTGATGAGGAGACCGAAGGTTAAGGACCCTTGATGGGAGTCTGTTAATGAGATATACAGTTGTCTCAACAACATCACCCCATAAACGAGTTGGAACATGAGATTGGAACAATAAGCCTCAAGCAACTTCAACCACATGCCTGTTTTTTCTTTCAGCCATGCCATTTTGTTGTGGAATATGACTACATGAACTTTGGTGAATAGTGTCCATGCCTTTTGTTAGACAGTTGTATGCCCTTAGCTCCAATCAGAATGATGTACATTATGAATTTATTGTAAATGAATAAAGTACATATTTGATTCATGTTCCT